CCGAATTTGCTTCCCGCGGCTGCTGGGAGCAGGTTGCTTCGCATGTAAATTGAAGGTGTGCGCGGCGCTTCGAGCCGAGGACTGTACTTATCTAACTCCAAAACGGTAGGCTGGACCACAGGTAAGTTCAAGTAGACGACCTCCTAACCACCATTTCAATTTTTCGGGAAATTCAAGAAACCCGCAATTTGATAATTAGGTTTTTCCGCAATAAGTTAAATAGTAATACAGATTAGGAAACTCTACAGATATAAATGAACAACACTCCTAAATACAGTAAAATAAAAATGCATTTAGCATTTATTAAAGTACACTCCTCTGCGTGTCCTAATTCCCCGCCCATAAAACCCGATAACAACCGTTTTCATAGGAAAACATGCAGGTTGTAGGGACTAATGAGTCGGGCTACATAAGCTACTGTTGTCGCAAATTTCAACTAAACAATGAGGAGCAAAATTCGGATTCTACTGGGTGTGCGGGGCCAACCGATGTATATATAAGACGATTTACTTGTGAAGGGAGGGAAGGAAACAATGGTGGCTCAATTTCAAAAGCTCGCTGGCTTTGGATTAAATTTCCAGGAACTTTGAAGCAGGATTAAGATTAAAATCGGTGTTAAGGTTAGGGTTATGAGTGAGTCCTGGTTGAGGCTTGGGCAAGCGTAAGTGTTAGGTTAGAGCTACGTGAAGAAGCACCAGTCCTGTAATATTGGCATTACACTATAACCATACTTACTTATGAACTTCAGTTATTGCCTAAAGACCTTAGTCCAGCCTGACTTAGTCCAAGATGGGGATTAATTTTGGAGGAAATCAAGAAGTAACAACCCATTTTGCAATGTAATACAATGCTACCTGTATTACGAGTGGCGTTCTTACTGCCAGAACTGCCGAGAAATGCACCACAGAAACAATTTTCACCTTTCATGTATTTAAAACGCTTTTTTCACATAAAGGTTCTTGCGTTGCCGTCTGCCTGGGAAATGCCCGGAAAATTAGAAACCACAAAACGCTCTGAACACGCATATTTTACACTTGGTTTTCCGGCCTTTCGCGATGACAAAGACAATATTATGTCTACTTTGTGTAAACTCTTCCCACTTCTGATAAAAAAAACAACGGCTTATTTCCGTTATCTGTAAGGTATAAGGTAAGGTATTCCAGCTCTGCACTATTGACTTATAGCAGTAAGTTTCGGTACTGCTAAGTACGTTTTACACTATGAAAATTTGGTTTCTTAGTAATATCCTCTAAACAGTAGACTCGCCAATAACTCGACAAAATAACGATTCTGCAACGGACTCCATCAGACATTTCGCAAGCCCAGCAAAGTCATGATTGCTGCGGTAGTTAGCTGCGTGGTCTTTGAGTGCTTTACATCTGGAGGACAGAGTTAAATTTGTGGACATTCACCATTCATAAGCCCCCGAAATGTTCCCCACACCACCACCGCTGCCGCCGCCACTTAATGAACAAAAAGTTGTGCGGATTGCTGAAGGAGGCCAAATGTAAGGTGGCTATTAAGATTCGCCAGCGACACGAATGGGTAACGCCCGGCGGATGAAGGAAAGAAATAAGATATATAAATAGCTGCAGATACGTGTGCTCGGTGGTTTAATCAAAAGTAAAATAACTTCTCACCTATGCTACTGACAAAGGACTGGTCTTCATTCCTACTCCTATGCACAGGCCCCTTGCTGCTGTGCTTCCTAGAATGCCCCGAAGCAAGCCTCGATATGTTTATGCTAACGCTGGACAAGACGTGTTTGCCCGAGTCAGCCATTTTTGACCTCAATAGCACCCTCAAATCGACGATAAATTACACCTGTTTCCGAAGCAACGCCAGTGGCTGCGGCTTCGAGGTGCAACTCAACCTGCATTCTATACAGGGCTGTAGTCTGCGAGCACAGCGTCGAGACCAGAATCTGGTGCGTTTTCTGTCCACCCTCGTGGAGAT